ATGAAGTCATTTCTGTGTGTCAATATGTGGTTTTATGGATGGGAATGGACGGGCACATGCCTGGTGCAGGCTCAATGTTTTATTAAAAACCAAAGTAGATTATAAAAAAAAAGGGGGGGCTATTTATTGACCATTTCACACAGGTTTCCATTGTTAGCCATTAGTGTGGGTATATCTGTGTGCACTGACTCACATGAACTTCGCTCTTACCTTGAGGAAACATCTGTCACACTGCGTTCGAGCTGGAGAAGAAGGCTTTTTAAAAGAGACTGGTAATTTGCGCTGAAAATGTAGACACAAATCAGATGCACCTGAGGTCCTCCCATCAGAACACAATTGGACAGGTAGGAGGGGCGGAGGAGGGAAGAAAGAAGAGAATGTCAGGGAAAATATAATTTATCACAGCAACCAAAGGATTTAGTACTGTGGAGCTTAAGGAAAGGGAAGCACTATTGACTAGAAAGGAAATCTTAGACAAAAAGAGGTTTAAGGAGGTAAAATATAATGTTTTTCTCTGGCTGGCAAGAATGACAAGTATGCAGGCCACCAGGAGCAATGAGGTAGGCACTGCTTTCCATCAGCATTCTAAATCCAATCTGAAACCATCATTCCATCTTCAAAGTAATAGATGGAAAAGTTTACACTGAAGACAAAGCACCTAAAGTTGAATCACATCATCAACCTGGGGCTGATGAGACACTGAGTGGATTTTCTATTACATTTCTACAGACTGAACATCTGTCTTAGAGTGAGCTTGTTCAGCCTCAGCCAAAACCTTTCATATCTAGGCACACTCATCATCATCGGAGAGCACTGAACGGAAAGATTCTCTGAGGAGACAAGACAGACCATTGGGAAGTCATTTTAACTCACGAAAGTTTATCCTGAACAAGAAAAAAAGAAAAAACAGATGAAGCAGCATGAGAAAGAACCTATGGCCTCGCAACCGGGTTCTTTTCAAAACTAAGTCCTCACTCACACTGTTGCTGTGAGCAAAGTGACCTTCTGACTTTCTGAAGACGTACCAGATACCAATGGGTGGCTGACTTATTAAAAGCACAAAGCACTCTATCACCAGAGCAGAGGAAAATTTAGAGACTTCTATTTTCAGACTACAAGCATCTAAATGTTGAGCAAAAGAATAAAGGGATGAATACATCCAGCTTCATTCGTTGTTATTCTGAAGATAGGAAGTTATGATGTAACATCTCTGACAACACTGATGAGCAGACAGATTAAATATTAGCTGTGGTCAACCTTCCTTCAAAGACCCTTAGAGAGGCCTCATAGGATCCTAGAACTCTAAAGACTGAATTTGGAAAATCATGACAACATACCACATGAAATGTGTATAGGATGGGGCAAAAGTAGGTTGACAGTGGTAAATATGCAAAACATAGGAATGGTTCTTTATTGTTATTTATTCATGATTATACTTATTTCCCATACAAATAACTGTAAACCTACTTTTGCCCCACCCTGTATTGGTCTCGTCCATTTCAATGTGTTGGCCTTTCCTTAGGCTGTTCCTTCAAGAAGAAACTATTGGAGATTATTAATTTCTCCACAAATAGTTTCCCCTCACAACAAGCAAATTAAATCCTTTATCTTAGATCTCCTCAAGGAGGTCTAAAAGAGAAGACCTATGTATCAAATAAAGAACACTTTGGAGCAAGTGTAAGCTAAAGATGCGTCTTCTTTCTCTGAGGAAAATTGATAGACATACTTCTAGATCTTAAGATCTGAAATATCTTTGCAAATGGGATGAGTGTGAAAGAAGATCTATTGGGCTTTCTCACCTGCTCTTTAAGCTCTGCTGACAGCCACTTGACCACAGTCGGTCTCCTTGAGATCCTGAGAGACATCTCTCAAAGTAGTGACATGGTACATTTCACAGAAAGCCTCTCCCTGGAAGGCAGAGCTCCTTGGAATGGTACCACATTGGCCAGAAAATGTTATTTCCTGCAGTGCAGCATCCATCCAAGAAAAGTCTCTCCAGGATCAATATTGCCAAGAATAATACAGACAAACATGTTGGCATTCACAAACTTTGAAGGTAGCCCAGAAACTGAAATGCTCAACCTATTCACAGCAGAGAAAAACATACACCCCCAATTCTTTGTCTGGATTACCAATCACACCTGGGGGATTTAGCTAACCCTCTACTAGGTCTTTGGAAAAAGGAGCTTATGCTAAAAAATTAGAGACTTAAGCCGAAACCAGTTTGGCTCAGTGGATAGAGCGTCAGCCTGTGAACTCAAGGGTCCCAGGTTCAATTCCGGTCAAGGGATGTACCTTGGTTGCAGGCACATCCCCAGTGGGGGATGTGCAGGAGGCAGCTGATCGATGTTTCTAACTCTTTATCTCTCTCCCTTCCTCTCTGTAAAAAAATCAATAAAATGTTTTTTTTTTTTAAATGGAGACTTGAGCAAAATCTGATTCTTTAGAACAATGCCTCCCAGTGTTACAGAACCAGACCCAGCCAATGTCTCTATTCCACTTTATATTTGAAGTTAGAGGACAAGGGTCTCCACTAAGTCAACTAAAAATAAGTAACTGACATCAGTCTTTATATATACATATATATAAAGACTGATGTCAGTTAATTAGTTTTAATATTATTTCAGAGAGGAAAGGAGGAGAGGCAAAGAGGCATAGAAACATCAATGATGAGAGAGAATCTTTGATGGGCTGCCTCCTGTATGCCCCACACTGAGAATCTAGCCTGCAACTCTGGGCATCGAACCATAACCTCTTCGTTGATAGGTCGACCCTCAACACTGAGCCTCTCCAGCCAAGCTGACATTGGTCTTGATCCAGTAAAATGCACCATTTGGTAAAGCTAACTCAAAGTTTGTCTCACCAACCTCTCAAATGCCCTTAGGTTAGATAGTGTAGGGGACCGCATCCTGGACCACTGTCCCTCGGTGATTTTAACAAGGAGATAAAAAGTGTGCAGAAGTTATAACAGATTTAAATTTTGGCAGAAACTGTTATAATACAAGGTGTCCCTAAAAAATGTACATACATTTTAACAGCTGACAGCTCAATTTTGAAAATGAAATGTATTTTAATAAACACGGCCTTTATAATTATTCCAAGTGTGTATATACATTTTGGGGGGGACATCCTATACATTCCCTCCAATTTCATGGCACAAAATCCTGGTCAGAACTTTCTGAACTCCTTTCCATAGTTCTCAATAACTACCAACCCACCTAACATCTTCACAAACTCAGTGCCTACCACCTCTGCTGGCTGAAATAACTCCTCACAGCAAAAAGAGGATCCTTTCTTATAAGGATCATTTTATTTCAGAACATTTGTATATTTTAATCTATAAATATTCTTTAAGTAATTAAGTGTTTTGGAACACTGTACTGATAATAACTTAGCTTATGAAATTATTAGTGGCTGAGTTAACACAATTTCACAAATGACCAACTTATATTTTTAGAAACTGTTTCCTGTCTTGGACCAGTCTAGTTTCTTCGTGGACTAGTTTGAGTTTCATAAGCCAAATTTGCAGATATTTTATAGCAAGGTTTCAACTGAAGGAGAAGGTTAGCAAACACCCGGGGGGGAAAATGTTAAACATTGGAATCACAAGACCACCGAGAGAGGCAGAGTAAAATTAAGAAAGATGGGCAAGGAGAAAATATCTAAATACCTTTTAAATGAGGTTTGAAAAGGAGATGGAGGAGCAATGAGGTGTAAAGATAAGACAAAGGCAAACGCCCATATTTCAAGATAAACAAGCAGATATCATTCACACCCAGTGAGCTACAGGGGACAGAAAGGCCATCAAGCCTCACCAGGAGCAATGCTCCCACCTCACACGTTAATTATAAGAGGAAGTCTATAATCCTTGCCTTCCATACAGCTAGTTAGATTTCTAGCTTTCCATTTCATTGCTCTAAGGAATCATTTATGTTGGCTCAAGCCACCAGAGACTAATGTATATTCCCCCACTCCATAAACCAGCTGCCACATTCACATGTTTCTATGAAGAGACTGGGCAGGGGAACATGTATGTAAGGTAGTCTCTAGAACCAAACCTATCATTCACAATAACACAGATAGTACTATACTCCCACATGTAAATCAAATCTACCCTGTTTCCCCGAAAATAAGACAGTGTCTTATATTAATTTTTGCTCCCAAAGATGCGCTAGGTCTTATTTTCAGGGGATGTCTTATTTTTCCATGAAGAAGAATACCGTACACATTTATTGTTAAATGAAAATAAAGGAAATTTATTACCTGTATACAATACAGTAGTACGGTAGTTGTCAACACAAACCAAACAAACTGTGAATCCTACAGTATCAAGAATTTACTCATTTATTCAATGACAATCATATCATCATCTTCTGAAACATCATCATAACAATCCAATTCCTGAATTTCCTGGTGAATTTCTTGTGACTCCATTTCTTTCAGAATCACTGGACCAAATCTCTCATGTTTAGCAATAGCATTCTGAGACAGAGCCTAGGGGGGCCTTATTTTTGGGGGATGCCTTATATTTCACTCAGAAGGAAACCTTAAGTAGGTCTTATTTTCAGAGGATGTCTTATTTTTGGGGAAACATGGTATATATTTCTAAAGTGTTGGTCAACTAATTACTTAGGCAAATATTTATCAAGTTTCACTGTGAGTAAAAAGTTGCACCAAATACAAGAAAAAAATTCCAAGCTGCACTAGGACTAATCCCTGTGTAACAACATTTTTTTAAATTTGTCTTTATTGTTGGAAATATTACACTTGTCCCCTTTCCTTTCTCCATTGACCCCCATCCACCAAGCTCCCCTGAGACCATCACCACGCTATTGTCTGGGTTATGCATGAGTTAGGTATATATGTATATAAATCCTTTGGTTAATCTCTACCCACCCACTCACCCACCTGCCGCCTTCCCTCTGAGATTCGTCTCTGCATATTTTTGTTCATCAGTTTATTTTTTTCATCAGTAGATTCTACATATGAGTGAGATTAAAAACAATATGGAACATTTCAAGAATTTGCATGTCATCTTTGCACAGGGGCCATGCTAATCTTTTCTGTATTGTTCCAATTTTGGTAAATGTGCTGCCGAAGCAAGCAATGTAAAAACAAATTTGACCTTCAGGTCTCCTAAGCTACTGAGAACTCGAAAATTGAACTGGAAGGCTGGGGGGCTGAGGATGCGTCTGCCACCCTTCCCCTGGTGGGGCTGGGCAGGATAATTCCCGGTCCTTGTCCAGGTGGGTTCAAAGAATGAAACCACTGACAAAAGGTGGTATAGGAAAAAATGGAAATTATTGAGAAACAAGCATAGAATCCCATATAGGAATGGACACAGAGTCCCACTGAGTCCCTTTTTTCTGATTTATAAAGGCTGCAGTTCTTTGTGTCTCTATATCCCCTCTGATTAGTCACTATAACAGCTTCAGAGCTCAAACCTCACATAAGGTTCCCCTCTTATTCTCTTTTATTTTCTACTAGAGGCCCGGTGCATGAAAATTCATGCACTGGAAGGGGGGTCCCTCAGCCCAGCTTGCCCCCTCTCACAGTCCAGGAGTCCTCAGGGGCAGGAGGCAAACCAGCGATCAGGGGAAGGCAACACCCCATCACACCTCTGCTGCTGGCACTGCCGACAGCACAAGCCTCAGGTGGCCTTGGGCAGCTGGGTAGCCACCACCCACAGCTTGTCTGAACCTTAGGCTGGCTCTGGGCGGCTGGGGGGCTGAGGATGCGTCTGCCACTCCTCCCCTGGTGGGGCTGAAAGGACTGGGGGACTGGCAGGGCTGAGGGGGCTGGGCACTGCCATCTTGTGGCTATGGGTGCTGTCATCTTTGTGACAGTGTGATGGTCAATTTGCATATTCCCCTTTATTAGAGAGGATTCCCTTTGGCCTTTCTCTTCCCTTTCAGAATGAATGACTTCCTTTCCTTTATTCTGTAAATGTATACCTTCTGCAGCTCCCAGCCTCCCTATTCTACAGAAACGTATGCTTTCTGGCAGCTCCCTTAGTCTGTGAATGTAGACCTTCTGCAGCTCTCAACTTTGCAGCCCTGTGTTTTTCCCATGGAGCCCCTAATTCCTAAAACTTCCTAAACCTGTCTATTTTACCTCTAAAAACTCCTTTCAATACTAGGACAAATAATTATGTCTGGCTGCTCAGTATCCAGATATGATTAGAAAGCTAAATAAGATTGCTATGGCCCTTCCTTTCTACCACAAATATCAACTTTTTACCATTTTATTATCAGAACCCCCATAAAAAAATTGTATCAATGTTCAGACTTGATCTTATAACAATTTAAAGTACTACCTAAATATATATATTTTTTAAAAAGCAGAACAACTAGTTTGTTTTTCTAATGTTTAAAAAAAGGCAAGAAGAATACTGAAATGATGAATAACTTTATTTGACCAAAAAGTTTAATCACTGATTAAAGCTGAGCATATCAGGTTTAACCCAAAATACCAGGCACTCAATACCATCAACTGAGTGGACCCAGTCACACTTAAAGAAAAAAGATGGAAAGCCAAATCACACAATTTTGAATTAAACCCTACGTCCCATAAAATCAGCATCATAATAAAATTAATTGTTGGTTATTTTAGCTTCATCTTAATAAAGTTCAGATTCTTATGCCTGTGGCTATTTTATGTATAGATTTGCTGTCTTTTTTGTATATTGAGTGTAGCAAACTCAAGGATGGTGCTGGCTGGAAATATTTTGCTCTGTAGTTTAGAACTTAGAGGTCAGCCTAATCAAATTTACTTGGCAATAAAGCCATAAGTCCAATTGTTGTGACCCTCTTACATGCTCAGGCTATGGCAATTCACAATATAGAAAAAGAAAATTAATCTTAGGTAAAAGCATTTAACTCAGCTACTGTGGAACAAGCCCAAGTTTTTCTATAAAGTTATATGAATCTAGACTATTCTGTGCCCGAATCAACATAGAGGGATCTGAATCTCTCTGAAAAAGGATTCTCTACGATTCATGGAAACTCATATACTCAGCAATGAAGAGAAATCAATATTGCTTTTGGTGATGGGTGGTAATGACAGGTGGCACTTAATTTCTTTAATAAAATCCTTCGTGAACATTGGGTATTCGTTTTTAAAAAGACATAATACCTTCTTTTTATTGTTTTTCTTTCTTAATATAAAAAATAAAAACTTCACTTTTTACCTCCTCTCTACTTCTTAAAGAAATCTTCAAAATGGACGCCATGAGAATAAGAGCTGTATAGTAGCTGTGAAGAACAGCAGTCTAGCAGCCACTGGAGCAAAGAGAATGAGTTTGGAGCTCCCCTAAAAGCTCTGTTCCCAGAGAATTGTCACCATTTTATTTGTCTGGCAGCTCACTGAAAAGCTCCATTCCTAGGGCTTGTTTTTATTTGATGTGACTTAGAACTCACTCTCTGCAAACAGACCTATCTACTGGGCATTTGTCAAAAACAATCAGTGGCAATTGTTCAATGCTGCTGCTGCCTGAGGCAAAATTACCAACTGGGGCTAATAAGAAGCTGACCAAAACTCTTAAAAGGAAAAACTATGGAATAATATGTCCATACAGACTTTAAAAAGTCTTGAAATATCCTTGACAAGCAAGAAAGTCATGTGTACAAGCTGGACTTTGTTCATGCCCAGAAAAGACCTGGTCATAACCTCATACCCCAAGCTGACCTTGAAGCTCTGCTCAAACATAAAGTGAATGATATGGCAGACTTGTAAATAACTGCCACAGCATTGAAAGTGTGCCCCAACACACAACACACACACACACACACACACACACACACACACACACCCTTAGCAAACACTGGGAGCCTCATTGGTTCAAAGCATTTAAGAAAATCTCTGTCCAATTTTTAGTAGATCTCTAAGGTCACCAAACAGAGACTTCAGTTGCTACATACAAGTTTATAAACTTTATACAGACTACATAATTAGTCCAGGAGCATCACTAAACAAGTAAAAGACAATGACAAAATCTCGGGGGGCGTGGGGGGGAGGAAGAGCAGTGAGAAAGAAAGAGAAGAAAATGTGATTTCCAGAGTTGTTACATTATATTAAGTGTTCAGATTTTTTAAAAACACTATAAGATATGCAAAGAAAGGAAAAGTGTAACTAATACGCATGAAAAAACATGAGTAATATTATAGAAACTGTCCCTAAGGAAGCTTAGATATTGAACTCACTAGGCAAAGACTTTAAGGTGGCTATCATAAATATATTCAAAGAGCTAAAAAGAAACCATGTATAATGAATAAAAGGATATTTTAAGTATAATGTCTCACCAAATAGAGAGAATCAATAAGACAAATGATGTTTCTCATTGATGTTTCTCATTGATGAGGAAGAATAAGGAGGGGGAGCAAAAAGGGAAGGAGAGGAGGATGAAGAAAGAAGGTGAAGAAAAAGAAAGGGAACCAAATATTCTAGAGTTTAAAAGTACAATAGATTTTAACTGGCAGGGGAAAAAAAGGATCAATAAACTTGAAGACAGATTGGTTGAAATTATCAACCTGACTAATAGAGAGAAAAAATAATAAAAGTAAATAAACAAATCTCATAGAGATGTATGAGATTCCATTCAAGCATACCAATATACCCACAACGAGAATGCCAGAAGGAGAGGAGAGAAAGATACAGAAAGAATGTTTAAAGATACAACGGCCAAAGCTTCCCAAAAGAAAAAAAAAGAAAAAAAATGTTAACCTTCATGTCTAAGAAGATCAAGAAACTCTAAGTAGGATAAAAAAGAGATACACATCTCAGCATATCATAGCCAAAAAGTCAAAAGACAAAGACTAAGAAGAAATTTTGAAAAACAACAAAAGCAAAGGAAATCACCATAGATATCTACTTAAATTCTACCTTATCAGTAATTACATTAAATGTAATGGACTAATGACTTCAATCAAAAGGTAGAGATTGACAAAATAGATTTAATTTTTTTTAATTTATTGGTTTTTAGAGAGAAAAGCAGAGTCGGGGATCAATTTATTATTCCATTTAGTTGTGCATTCATTGGTTGATTCTTATATGTGCTCTGCCTGGGGATAGAACCCACAACCTTGGCATAACAGAACAACACTCTAATCAACTGAGCTACCTGACCAGGGCCAGAATATATTTCATATATCTAATTGATTTCAGAGAGGAAGGGAGAAGGAAAGAGAGATAGAAACATCAATGATGAGAGAGAATCATTGATTGGCTGCCTCCTGCATGCCTCCCACTGAGGATGAAGCCCACAAGCCAGGCATGTGCCCTTTACCAGAATCGAACCTGGAACCCATCAGTCCACAGGCTGAGGCTCTATCCACTGAGCTAAACCAGCTAGGGTCAGAATGAATTTTTTAATGATCCAATTATATGTTTTCTACAAGAGACTCACTTTAGATCCAAAGACACAATAAGTAAAAAAATAAAAGGATGGAAAAAGATAGACCATGAGAACAGGAATCAAAAGAGAGCTGGAGTGACTATGTTAGTATCAGACAAAATAGACTTAAGACAAAAATTGTTACAAAAGAAAAATGGCATTTTATATTGATAAAAAGGTCAACCCAGCCCTAGCCGGTTAAGGGCACATCATTGATGTTTCTATCTCTCTCTTTCTCTATTTTCCTTCCTTTCTGAAATCAATAAAAATACATTTTTTTAAAAAAAAGGTCTGCCAAAACCAGTTTGGCTCAGTGGATGGAGTGACGGTCTGCGGACTGAAAGGTTCCAGGTTCGATTCCGGTCAAGGTCCCAGGTTTGATTCCTGTAGGGGGGTGCAGGAGGCAGCTGATCGATGTTTCTCATTGATGTTTCTAATTCTCTATCCCTCTCCCTTCCTCTCTAAAAAATCAATAAAATAATTTTTTTAAAAGGTCAATTCAGTAATTCAGTTGCCAACTTGATATTGCCACTAGATGCTTAGCTCAAAATGAGCTCCTGATAGTTCCCCAAAACAACTTTTCCTAAAATTTTCCACATCTCATTTAAAGTGACTATATCCTTCCAGTCACTCTAGGCAAAAATTTTAACTCTTTCTTTCACCTCCTACACCTGGTGCCTCGTCAAATTCTATGGCCAATAAAAACTGGCCCTGTA